TTCCCTAAGGAAAGACAGACAATGTTGTGGGAGCAAGGCAGAAACTTTTTGTCATTTCTAATAGCAGAGGTTGAGGGTGGGGAGGCAGAGGATTATGCTACACTAGTGCACTTTGCATTCTGCTGCCACAGAAATTTTGCTATAATTTAGGTCAATCAACAAGATGAAAGAAATGAGAACTGATGCTGCTTCCAACTATTTGTTGAATGACTTCATAAAAATCTTACCTGCATGTGGATATAAATGAAGTCATTTGAGTATTAGTAAATGGTTTTCAGTCAGCTACAAATTGACTGAATGAACTTGTCCTGCAAAGGAATGTTTTAGGGGTCTGCAACTTGTGGTCCAGAACCGGCCCAAAACTGTGGGACCATGGCCTAATGCCCAGCTGCATCACTTGCGTTACAACTACTATCAGCATTTGGGTGTTCTGACTGTAGTTTAGCTTTCCTTCTCTTCTATCTTCAACTGATACTTTAGTTTGCTTTTCCACTTTTTTCTTCATATGTGTCCCTCTGACAGGTTGGATCACAAATCTATCAAATACAGCCTTTGAACAGAAGTGCATTGAACAGCTTTAGCAGCTCACTGATTTTTTCAATTTTCAAGCAGTCCAACTGCTACTGTTTAACAACAGTTTTGCCAGAGGCTTTTTTTGTTTGGTTGGTTGTTTTTTGGGGGCTTTTTGTTTTTTTTTTGCTTTGGGAACTTGGTTCATGCAGCCTGAATTCTCCCTTTTGGATTTGAGATCTGCTGACCCTTCACCCTATGAATCCTTCCTGCATGAGTGTGCTTTGACTGTTGGATTAGCATTGGTATAAACATCCCCTGTGTTGCTTTTGTGTACTTCTGTTAGGGTTTTGGCAGGGGGGTTTTTTGCCTAGTGATTAAAAGGTTAGTTCAATTAAGGCCCCAGTCACAGGTTGTGTAACTTTCAAAGACACCTCTGCTTGAATGCTTCCCTAGAAGAGAAAGCCTGTTGTGTCACTGTATGTGCAATGGAACTCGTGTAGCTGCTTTGAAGAAGCTGAATTCCCCAAACATTGCAAGCCAGAAACAAATTAAGGGAAAGGTGTTTAATGTACTAGAATTATGAACCCTTTGTTGTATGAACCCTTTTGTTGTATGTCATTTTGTCTCAGCTTGTAATGTGCCTTGTTTGGGGATCAGGTTGTTTTAAGGCTCATATCTTGTCTGATCTGCAAGACTTCACTCTTTAAAGATAGTGTCTTAGTGAACAGCAGTTTGTGGGTGACCATCCAATGGTGGTTTCTTCTTCATTCCATCTACTTCTACAGATAGACTGGAGGCTACTAACTGCCACTAGCAGAAGGGCAAAACAGGAAAAAACACCACCAGCAGCAGTTCTGAGGGGCTATTTACTGCATTAAAACCAGCTGGGAACACAAGTCTTTCCCTTGCATGGCTGTCTTTCCCCCATATAAATGCTTGATGTGCTTGCTCGGAGAAGTTGAGATGACAAGAGGAAGAGCCATAAATAAAAATTGTAGTTAATTTTTTTAATGTTTTCTTGGGTTTTTGATTTTTGTTTGCTTTAATCAGTTCCTTAAGGAGTATCCTTCCTTTTACTATCCTTCAAGTATCTTTTAAAAATCTTTCTGAAATTAAGTCACAGAAGATAACTTCACTGTGGTTGGCTGGTATTCCATTCCCTCAAGTGTAGCTTTGAATTAAAAATGTGGATGCAACTAGTTGTTTGAGCCCTTAATTTTTAGAGTAACTGGCCTAAATTTAGTGCTTCTAGAAGTGAGGAACTGATAGCACCAGCATCAAGGCATGATACAGACAAGCCATTCAATAATTCCACGTGCTTCTGCCAACATACTTGCTATTTTAATGCTGATTGCAAATGAGATACAAATTCATCTCGGGTCCTAACCCTGCTGAAATGAATAGTATTCACAAGAATGATTTTGACCTTTGTAGTTATGGTTTTTTTGCTTTAGTTTTATTTTGTTGTAAAGCACATGCAAGAATGTAATTCAGTAGCTCAGTGGTTTAGGGTTTGTTTTCTTCTAGGACTGAGAATACAATGGATAAGATGGGAGGGGGTGTGTGAATATTCAAGTGAGGAGGTTTCAGAAACCTAAAATAAGACTCAACAAGCTCATTAATAAAGGATATTAGAAGCCTTGAGTCCAGACTGTGTGCTGGACATATCAACCCAGATGAATTGTTCATTGTCCTCCATTTCAGAAACCTGAACTTCACTAAAATTATATGGAAAAGCACAGCTGTGAACTAAAATTATCATTTGCAGCAAGCATCTGTTGCAAGGGCTAAAGCAATATAAAATAGAAAAATACCACTTTCTCCTCAGATGAGTGTGTGTGACATTGGGATGTGCTGGCAGGAAAACAAATTGCATGGCAGGAGAAACAAATGAGACATTCCCTCCGATGTATGGGGCTTAGAGGAGGGCCACGGAGAATAATGCAGAAAACGACAGTTCCGGAAAAGATAAAATAGTGTGTAAGGAGTTTCAGAAAGAAACACTGTTTTGTACTGGAAATAGAATACTCTGTAACTGTGGTTCTGAGCACAACTGTTGTAGGGCTCATTTGTTTAAAAATCATCAGTATATCAAAGATAGCAAAGTCTATTTGCCCATGTTGCTATGGTGACAGATTAATGTCATTGTGGCTAGCTGCCTCTGCCTAGTCAGATAATCTAATATAGCTGGTTTTAATTATTCTCACGCCATGGGCATGACTACTTTTTTGTTTTAAAATTTGAGGGTTTGCCACCATGGAGTACAAGCAATTCAGAGATGTTCTCTGAAGCATCTCTGCTGAAGTAGAGAACCAGTTTAGTACACCCCTTTTCTGTTATTGTTCCTGTTTTTATATGTGTACTCAGGGCATCAGTGAGTAATATTCAGCTCCTTAATCCTCTGACAAAGAAAGAACTTCTTGATAGATTGTTGCTTCAGTGGGATGATTTGACAGTTTATTTTCTCCAATTTGCTCACATTCTTCCTTGATGTGCCATCAGTCAAGATGAGAAAAAGGCAAAGGCATTCCATTTACAAAGAAGCCCATTTCAGATGCCACAGAGAGCACTGGACCAGTTGCTGCCAGTCCCGGTTCTGCCAAGGGTAGATTCTTAATCTGTTTTCTTTCTGGTACTCTGGCAGGCCCTCTCACTCCCTCATCACAAAATGTCTAAAAAGCAAGGATATCAATCTCAAGACATATGATCTTGTACAAACAGGTCTTCATCCTGAATTCCCTTGACCAATCTTTATTATTTACTCCTTCTCTCTGAACCAATCTGTCTCAGAAGGGAAAAGCCTCACTATGGACTCTTTGTAGCTATCTTTTCAATATTTAACACTGCTGTTTTTTCTCTGATGCTTGCAGAATGAGCAGAAAGATCTGGTAGCACTAACAACGATGTAGGATCCCTCTGTGCATACTTTATGTACCTTTCTACATGACTTTTTATTATCAAACAGACCTTTCCCAGAGGGCCTTTGGAGGAGGCTACCTCTCCTCCATTTATCTTGGTTCATACAAGATCTAAGAGTTTTCTAATTCTCTTGCTTAAAAAAAAAGTTTTATAAAACCTAGTGATCAATCTAGCACTGCTAGGACTATTTGAGGAAGGGGCATGCCAGCCTGCTTGTCCAGACATACAGTATGAAGCATTTACAAGAAGGTATATGCTTCTTAAATACAAGATCTGATCTACTTGCTGAAATGCTCAGAAGTGGGATAAAGAGGGGAAAAGATCTGATAAATTGTGAGAGAAGGTGCTGAACATGTGCTAGTTAAATCATCAAGGACGCAGCAATTAAGAATAGTCCTTTGAGCAAGTAGAGTTATTAATAATAGACTATTTTTCTATTCAAAAACTTGGTGTATCCCCAGATCAACAATCTTTCTCAAGCATCCACTGAGAGAAGACTCTTTCCTACCTTGTCTTCAGGAAGTAGAGCATGGGAAACAATTAGAGGGTGAAGAGAGATTCCTTCTGTTCTCTTGAGTAGTTCAAAAAGGTTAAGAACAGTTGATGGAAGTCTACACATACTGGGTTTAGGTTGGGTTTTGTTATCTTTCTTCAGACCTGATGCTTGTCCCTTGAGCTATATGTCTGGTAAGTGCAATGCTTGAACCAATCAATGGAGACTGTCTTCATTCTGACTTCAAGTATTACATTAATGAACTGTACTAGAAAAGAATTTGCTTAAATACTGCAACTAATAAAAATAGCAATTAAGTACAAATAGCGAATACACCTTGATATTGAGGCATGTTCCTAGGAACAATCTAATGTAATGCAATATAAAATTCCTTTGCCTTTGCTCTGAAAGGCAGCTTTATGATTGCCATACAGAAGAAGGTATATCTGAAGCCCACCTTCATCTTGGAATAGAGATGTTTTTATCTATATAGCCAGATCATGTGTGGAAGCTCTGTTAACTATAAATTACAGGGGATGCAAAGTAAAGGCATTCAAGTTTGGGAGAATTCCAGAATAAGGGTTACCTGTACATCTTCAGATTGGCTCTGCTGAACAAGTAGCTGCAACATAATTTATTTTGGTTTTACTTCCACTATTAAAGGTGTAAGGTCTTATGGTACACTGTTGAAAATCTCTCTGAATACAGAACTAGTGTCATTCTCATGGGCTTTTCTTATTGTGCTTGTCATGGTAGTATCATATTATGTTGCATGTGTTAACTACACATCTGTGAGACGGGTGCTGATTAGTCCATTTACACAGGCAAAACACTCTTTTTGTTAGCAGTTTTGTCTGCTTGGAACAAAACCTGACTAATTTCTGTTGGGAAAAGAGTCAGATGTTTTTGCCAAACCTATCCCAAAAGGCCAACCTAGTACACACAGCTGGCATAGAAATTTTTTCCCTGAGCTTGTTAGTATGGTAAAAGCAAAGTATGACTGAAATCAGGTATTTTATAAGCAGAACATTAAGGCAGTATTGTGGATAAAATATGCAAGCTCTGCTTACAGTAAGTGTTGTGCATCACATTAACCATCAATCTAGAATAAAGTGATAGTGGTTGTCCAATAAATCCTTAATCGTATTGCCTGGAATCTGTGAATGAAACTGAGAAAGGTGAGGAGATCCAACTATTATATTTGCTATGGATTACCAGTTTCTTAGGGATGTTGGTGGATCTTCTTTGAGGCATTTTTTTCCTTCCCTTCTCACCAGGAAAACTGAGGGAGGGCTAGACAGACAGCATAGTCAGCGCTCTTGCTATTGGTGAAAAGATTTCACTTTGCAGTGTTACTACCTCTTTCCACTTCAGAAGTATCTTTCAGTAAAACTCTCCTCCTTCACCTTTCTCTACTAGCTGAAACTGCTGCGATGTCTTCCGAGGATGTTGGAGGCTTTCTTTCCTTCGCAACTGTTCCTTAAAGGAACTAGTGCGGGCTTGCTTTTCACCTCTGTGCTTTCAGCTCCCTGCCTGCTGATGAGGTGTGACTGACTCTGCAGCTGGATGAAATGTTACTCTGCATTACTGGCACAAGTAACTCTAGTTTCCTGGGAAACAAGTGCCTTCATTAGTGCTAAGACTGTATTGTAGGCAACAAACTATTCTTACCATTAGTGAGTAAGCATCCCCTGTTACATAAAAATAGAGCCCTGCAATTTGGGATAGATTATTACACAATGAAATATTGAAATGATGGATAATCTGCAGTGTGAGAGCTTTTAAGTTCTGGATGGATGAAGTAAATGCAGGGAAAAAAAGTGGAAAAGGGGGAGAAAAAACCCTACATCTCTGGAATACTTGTAAGTATGGGTCTAAGGGGCAAAAATTAAAACAATCTGCATTTACACTTGTTCTTGGTATTTGCGCTACTGTTCTGTTTCAAATGCCTATAATAGTTTATGAATTCAAAGACACATTTTTTTATTTTATTTTCTGTTACAGATCTGGAGTCCTTACAAGCAGCCTGACTGCACAGGGGATCTGGATGGTAGAATTGAGGATGATTCACGTTGCCTCTACACTCATGAAGAGTACATCAGTCTTGTGTTGAACAGTGGTAGTGGTTTGTCCCATGATTATGCCAACCAATCAGTCCAGGAAGATCCACGGATGATGGCCTTTTTTGACTCCCTGGTGCGCCGGGAGATCGAGGGCTGGAGTTCTGACTCAGACAGCGACCTCAGTGAGAGCACAATCCTGCAACTCCATGCAGGAGTAAGTGAACGCTCCGCTTACAGCGAGTCAGAGTCGTCCGCCTCTCTGCATCACTCCCCACCACATGCAGCTGAAGAGTCTGATGAAACTGCCTATAACTTAAGGGCCTTAAGATCAACTGAATCCCCCTCAGCCAGAGAAGATGTGGCTTCCCGTCAGCAGAGGCTCTCTGCGCTGAGAAAGTATCAGGATAAACGTCTCCTGGCCCTTTCCAATGAGTCTGACTCTGATGACAATACCTGTGAGGCGGAACTAGATACAGACCTTTTCCCACGGCCACGGTCCCCGAGTCCTGAGGAGAATGAATCCAGCAGTTCCAGCAGCAGCAACAGTACAGAAGACGAAGAGGAACTGAATGAACGACGCACATCTATGAGGCAACGAAATGCACTGAGGCACCGACAGAAGGTGCAAAAAGAGGAAAGGACTAGCACTAACACAGAGAATGTGACCCCCTACATAGGTGAGGACATCTATGATTACCCCCAGATCAAAGTAGATGATCTTTCTTCTTCTCCAGCTTCTTCACCAGAAAGAAGTTCAGCCAACAAAGAAGTTCTCAAAGAAAGGACATCTCCTTGTTCAGACAGTGAATCAGTGGAGAGAAAGATTTACAAAGCTTACAAATGGCTTCATTATTCTTATATATCATATTCAGCTAGTAAAGATGGTGAATCCTCCAGAGGAGATGGGGAGAATGATGAAGGGAAGCCAGGAACTAGTGGAAGGCACAGTACAGCACACTCACTAAGTAAGGAAGATGCTAGGAGCTTGAGTTCAGTAATTCCTCAAGGTTCCTCAGCTCTTCCTACTGAAAGCCACAACAAAGAAACTTTGAAGGAGTGTGGCTTGAAAGAAAATTCTAGTAATGGTCAAGCTCATGAATGTGACAATCAGCGGTGGATGGATGGTCAAGAAAACACATCTGAAGACACTAGCAGTGGAGGTATAGAGCATTCTTTTGAGAATAAAAAGCTCAATGGGAAAGCTAACTGCAAAGGGCTAAAGAGTTGTGCTGAAGAACCTTGCATTCAGACTGCAGGACTTGTGGAACAGAAAAATAGTCAGAACTGTCAACCAGCATCAAGCCATCACTCATTGGTCCCTCCATTCTCTGCTGTTGCCATCTGTAGCATGTCGGGTCACTGCTCTAGAAACCAGACTGATGACAGTGAGGAGAGGAGCCTTGACACCTCCTGTGTTAACCACAACAACGGCCACTTGCATCTTCGCCCTTCATGCCTCAACAATGGACAGAGTTTTGGAGAGCAGGAGACTGTGACGCAAGGACTACAGGTGCACTCAAATGCTGATAATGGCAGCCTTGCACAGATGGGTGTGACCTTGCACAAAGACTGCTGCCTGTCTGAAATGGACTCCAACAGCTACAATGTGAGCACAAGAGAGGATACTGCTGACTTGCATCCTGCAGGCAGTGAGAGCACTCAATCTCTCGGAGGACTGAAAAGACACAGAGCGGAGTTGGAAGATGCAGATTCAGAGAGTTCATCCTTAGAAAAGAAGTTAAAAACATGATACATGCAAATGTCTGTCGTAGTGTGCACTCTCAAAAAAAGAAAAGGAAAAAGAAAGTATTAAAGGCACATAGAGCTTGGGTCTGAAACATTGCGTTTGATTCTCCATTCCATTCTTCAGTGGGTCTGTTTTAGATTGCCAATGGTTCATGCTGTATAAAAATCCAACTTACTCCTTAATGAGACTGAGTCTAGTGTACCCATACAAGGTTCTGTTTAAAGTAAATCCTTATTAAGACGGTTGACTGAATCATTCTTGTGTGAACATGTGTCGTTTGTTCAGCCAGCCAAGCAGGATGACTGCTTTAAGTTTTAATTGTTCTTCTAAGAAGGAATTTTTCCGTACTGACACTTATTACACATTGCAGGCTGAAGAACGATTGAATTAGATCACGCTGGTGGTAGCTTGGGGTGTGTTTCTTGTTGAGGAAAACGGGGAAGAAACCTTTCTCGGCCCTTTATTCTGCTTCAGAAACTAAAGAAAAGCAACCATTAGGGAGGATATTTTGAGAACTGACTGGTGTCTTTAGAGATGATACTTCATAAAGCACTTGGTTCTGATACAGTTCAGCGACATTATTTCTACGCCAACAGAAAAGCTATAGGAAATGAGCCTCTTTCCAAAATCAACTTTAGACTGTTCCCATGGTGACATCCAATTTTGTGAGTTTTTTTAAAGAAAATAATTGAATAACATGGTGTCATCACTATACTAAAATGTGACTGTTTGGCAAGAGGAACATATTATGCTGTAGGCCTCACTCTAACCAAGGGCTATTAAAAATCAGGCATTGAAACGTGCCTTTCTGTGAGCTTAACGCCTGGAGATTCATTATTAGTAGTAGTAAGAATATGGCTCTGAGTGTTGGGTTTTATCTTGACTGTTCCCTCCTCTTCCCCCGTGTGCTTACTTTTGGGAGGCAGTAGACCAAGGAGAAAATAGGGGAAGGATGGATAATGCAACTGGTGGGTGTTAACAGCAACACTTGGTAAAGTCTGTAAACTGCTTTTTTAGCAGTTTTCTTAACCCAAAGCTCAAACTAGTTTGGCTTTGGGGGTCAGGGTTGGTGTTCCACTACTGTGCTGCTAATATTTAAAACTGCAGATGGGTGGATAGATTCAAGAGTTGTGTGTGCATGGGAGAGCTTCAGAGAAACATCCCCATGTGTGAAGACACTGGGATGCCAAGGCTCGCAGTCGGAACCTGAGCAAGAGCATAGCTCTGGCTGCTGTGAACTGGCGTACTGTGCAGGTGGATGGAGTCCTTTCTTGCTTAGGCTGGGTTTTTTTTGTTTTGGTTTGGTTTTTTTGTTTTTTTCAATGGATTATCCAGTGAGTCCTCTCAGTTCTGGCATGCTAGTGTTGGTGGAAATGCACTTGCTTCCCTTGTGACGAGGTTAGAGGAGTCAGTGTGTGAAGGGAAAAGAAACCACCTAGAAAGAACACAAAAACTCTGTGTTTGTGGCTTGCAGTGCTGACAACAGAAGAGGTGGCTTCTTTTGACCCCAGTAATTGTCATGGGCACTCAAGCGCAGTACTGAGGAAGGGCTAGATTACTTTAAGGAACAGGAGATTTTTGTTTTCAGTATGACTCTATCAGTACACTGCTGTAGAGCACAGGTCTCAGAATAATTATTTAATAGATGTAGCTATGTGGTACTTGGGGAAAGAAGCAAGATGCCCTGTTAAAACATGATGAAGTAAAGGGCATTCAGAAGCGATGCTGGAAGTGAGAGCGAAGAACATGAGCTGAAAATTTTTCATACAACTATTGTGTGCCATAGGCCGTTTGCCCACACTTGGTCAGCTTTGCTGAGTGAGAACTTGGAGTAAGATATGATGTAGCATTTAAGAAGCATGTAAGATGGGTAAAAGCGAAAGAGATGTTTTCAAACATGAGTGAAAGTGGCAATAAGAACAACCTGATACATTGTGACTATTGAAAAAATTGTTCTGCACTGATAAATGCAATCAAGAGCACTGTAGGGGTGTTCTTGGTTGTATAAACACCTTATTGTAAATGCTGTTTTTTAGCCAACATCTTGAGGTTGCTGAGTCACAACTTTTCAGTTATTATTTTATTTTTAAAAATTTCTTTACATTGGAAACATTTTCTCAGCTGTCACTTCTTCTGAAATCCTCTGAAAAATGCCCAGATTGCTGATGAAGGAGCATCTCCACTCTCCTTTGACATGGTCATTTTTTTCTCAGTGTTTTCTCAAATGCCTTGTGGTCTCACTTTCTGGTTCCTTTGTTTGTTTTCAAAAGCAGAATAAAAGCTCCTGGGTTTGGTGTTAACGCTCCTCTAAGGCTCTGGGCATAAAGGTTTGCTGTGGTTTCCCAAATATAGCCTCCCATGCTGCCTGCATGCGTGTTACTTCTAGTTTCTGTGAAGCAGGAGGAGGAAGGTGGGCTACAATCTTAACCTCTTGTTCACGGGAAGTTTCACTGCACACAAGAGCCGTAGCTGCTGAATCAGTGGGTTTGCCATCTCTCATAAATAAATGTTACCCGCACTAGGCAGCTGCATGATGTGGAAAAGACCAAAAAAAAAAAAAAACCAAAAAACAAGCAAGTGGCAGTATGTCTGCTGCAGGTAGCGAACAATGAAAAGAGCTGCTCATTGTAGGGTGCTTTGCTTTGTCATTGATCCCATGTGTCTGCTCTCTCCCCCCTGCACTGGGTTGCTAACTGTGCTGTGTGCCAGCAGCTTCCTGGGCTGCTGGATCTGAGTGTTGCTCTATCTTTGGGATTGTCACTCCCTGTTGGAAAAAGAGTAGGCTGTTCCATGGAAAATCTTACAAGTTTATCTGAAGAGATTTTGCCTTTTCTAATAATCCATGCCGCGTACTTAGAAATGAAAAGGTTGTGTAAATATTGAACTACCTTGTTAGTTAGCCACTATTTACTTATCACACAGCTTGTGAGGCCAGGTTGTACAGTTCATGTCCAGAAAGCGTTATCAGGGGAAAGAAAAACTCCTTTACATTTCTTTATAACACTTTGGACAGAGAAGGATTGATCTTTAAATAAATCCTTTTTGATATTCCTTGTAAGCTCACAAGCTGCCTATTTGCTTATTTCAGCTTTCTCTGTTCAAAGCATTAATGTCAAACCGATCTGTTTGGCATCTTAACTAAACTGAGAGAGACAAAGTTGACTTTTCCTCTCAAGCAGGCAAGCATGAGGCTCTTCTGGGATGGACTGTTAACTGCTTTCAGAGGTGCAAGAGGATACGAGATCTATCACCCAAAGTCTTACTAGGATTTTTCCGGCTCTCAGGTGGTCCTCTTACCAAAGCTGGCAAGTCTCCACTGAGGTGAGTGGCTCAATGGGGATCACGTTGTGCTGTTGAGGGATGGCTCTTTCTCACAGGCAAAGCACATGCAGAAGGATACGGTTGCCTTGAGAAGGGAAGAGCACAGCGATTTGACCATGGGTGTACCAGTCAATTGCAGTATTTTCTGAAATCCAGCCTGTCTCAGCAGGAGTAATAATTGAGAAGGACAACTTATTTCAAAATCTGCTCAAAAAATTGCAGTGAATTTTTTTCCTGAAGTATCATAATAGAACCACTCTCAGTGATTGGGAGCTGGTCCTGATCTCTTGTTTATAAGCCATGTCACTTGGTAGCTGGAAAATCACTCTTCCTGAAATGAAGTCTCAAGGAAATAAATGGTCAAGTCTACTTCTGAGGTCTTGTAATTCCTGCATTGTCACATCCTCCTGAACGGACGGAGGTCTCTTGGTCAGTGCAGCCATCAGAAACTGGTGTGTCTTGATAACTACTGCCTTGGCATGCTTTCATTTGCACTCATTTATTTTGCTGTTTGTGGACAGGAGCAAGACAGGATTTTTGTTTTTTTCTTCATTGAGTCAAAATGTTCCCTGTTAATGAGTTTTCATCTCTTTTTGCAGGCAGTACTAATGAGAGAGGTGCCCTTTACACCTGATGCTTTCTCTCGTTTTCACCCACTCCGATTCTCTGAATGTCTTTGCCAAACCTGGGAAGCTCAGTGCTCTCCTGCAAGGTCCACAGAGTACCAAAGAGTAACGCAAATAGCTGCAATAACTGAATTACTGTGTGCATATGCACGTAGTTCTTCAGGAATTATTTAATAAGCTAATTCTAGCACATAATTTATAAAACACATCAGGACACTCCTGCAGCTGTGTTGAGGTGCAGTAATTAGCTCAGCTAATGTTTCAAACACCTATTAAGCAAATGGCAATTCTTTAGAGGGAAAAAAAAACCAAAACACTGGTTATGGCGGCTGCTAGGTTTGCTAAAGTTTTCTTCAGAGGTTGTGCAGATCAAAAGCAGTGAAATCTCAAAGGAGATGTTGGTATGTTGTGTTGTAGGAAATACGCAATCTGAATTTGATGTTAATCTGAATTTGATGTTTGTACTCTTGCCTGATTCAAGTCAGGGACCTGAGCTTGGGTCTCCTGCCTTTCACTTGAGCATCCTGAGCATCAGCCTATTGCATTATTCAGGAGTGGGCTTTGTTCTTCTTTCCCCTGAAATGCAAAGGGGAATGGAAATGGAAACAGTTCCCCCAGTACTGGAGCAGGGCCTTGAGCCCAGCTCTGTTGGTTTGTAGTTTGCTGAGAAAATGCTAAACGATTCTTTCTCACTTCTCCACCTCATGTGATCTTTGGTCCAGAGAGCTGGGAGATGGTTGTATGCATCCTATTTGTCTTGAACATGGGAGAATTGTCCTTTCCAAATTGGGCACAGCATGTATGATTTTTTTTTTTTTTTACTTTTTTTCCTGTAAACCTGTAGTGCCAACCTCCTAAATGAGTGCCCAAGCCAGTGAGCTGTTTGTTCTGGGATATGGCTGGCAGGCTCGGCTCTTCTGTCTCGTGAATATTTTTCTGTTCAGTTCCAGTCTCAAGTATCGGCCAACACCTACACAATGCTGGAGCATGTAGGTTGGGATTGTTGCTGCTTTTAGAACCCATTGGACTTGCCCCTTTGCTGAAGCTGCTGTCTGG